AGGGTCCTGGGATCGAGCCCCACATCGGGCTCTCTGCTCGGCGGGGAGCCTGCTTCCCCCTCTCTCTCTGCCTGCCTCTCTGCCTGCTTGTGACCTCTGTCTGTCAAATAAATAAATAAAATCTTTAAAAATAATAAAAAATAAAAATAAAACCAACCACAGAATAAAGAAATCCCTTACACAGGAATGATGGGGTTCTGACCGTACAGACTCCTAAGGACCTCGGGTTCCAGGGAAAACAATGGTCTGTCAAGAATTCTGCACCTGGAATGCTATTCTTCAATAGTGAAGGAAAACTAGAGACATTTTCACGTTCCCAAGGACTGAGTGTCACCAACACATGCCCGTGCAAGGACGATAACCAGTGACTGAGAACCGCATAGCCAACAGCTTTCCTACTCCAGCCGGTTGCAAAGGTTGTATTTCGGGAGGGCAAGCAGCGGGCAGGTCTGAAATAGAAGGGAGGGTGAGCAGATCATTGTCGCACACCCTGACTGCACAAAATGATGATACTGTGTACAACGTGTGGGGCTTAAAGTAATAATAGTAATAGTATTGCAAGACAGGACAAACGTGAGAGACATGTGCTGGAGATCATCAGAGGTAAAGTTCTCAAAGGTCCTTGCACTACTCAGGAAGAGGGAAAGATGTTCCTTATGTCTATGCCTCCTTACGGATGCAAAGTAAACACCCGAAGACGAGCCAGTGACAGCATGGGGACATGACCGCTTGCAGCAACACAATGAAAGGGCATTTACTCCGGGAGCAGACGCGCAGTGGTCTGTCCTTCAGGTGTGAAGCTGGCGCCCCAGCTCCCCTCCTGGCTGCGTGGCCAGATCCCAGGAGGGAGCGATGGAGCCCCCTTCACTGGACGTCTCCCTGGGCAGTGTGTGGGTCACAACCTGCACCGTGGCCATCACGGGGACCACAGCCGGCGGCGGGAAGAATGACCCTCTCGGCTCTCAGGAGCGCGGAAGAGCACTCGGGAAGAGCGGTGTGGGGGGGCCGTGGAGGGCCTGTCACCGAGAGGTCACAGCTCGAGCGGGACAGGAAAACAGGAGAAAAATTAATCCACCCAGAAGAGCAAGAAGAAGGACCAAAACCCGCAGGATGTGGCCAAGCACACGAGAGAAGGAATGACAGATGGAAATGCAGCGGTCATCACAGTGAGCGTAAACGGACAAAACCCAGCTGGAGCGGGTAAGGACGGCCGCAGAGACGGCGCTTTACACGCCGGAGCTGGCGGCGCTGGGGGCTCAGTCGGGGAGCGTCTGCCTTGGACTCGGGTCATCTCAGGGTCCTGGGATCCAGCCCCATGTCGGGCTCCCTGCTCCGCGGGGAGTCTGCTTCTCCCTCTGCCCTTGCCCCTGCTCTTGCTCTCTCTCTCCCAAATAAATAAATAAAATCTTTAGAAAATTAAATTCCAGCTCTGTTACTCACTAGACACAGATCTGAAACGCCAAGGAGGCCCATCAACCTAAGGTAGAGGACATTTTTTTAAAAAACCACACAGATTAAGCTAAAAATAGGACAACATAGCTTTTTAAGACCAAAGTTCTTAGCAGGGAAAGTGAGAGCGCAGGGGCAGGTGGCTTAGTCGGAGACCAAGAGACCGGGCAGTGCAGCCTCCACTGCGGGAAGCCAGAGTCCATGTGGGAAGCCACGGATGGGCACAGCCCTCCCACGGATTCCGGGCCGAGGACACAGAACGTTCATAAGTGACACGTAGGAGTTGAAAGCACATCCGTGAGCAGGATTCGCAGACGGATCTAGATGCCAGAGCCCCCTGGCAGAGGCTGCGCGCTCTTCTCGAGCGCGTTTTGGTTCTGAGCCCACAACGTTGCGCCTCTTGAGCAACGTTAAAGACGTGACGCTGTGCAGGCTTTGCTTCCTAACCCAACGCGACTGAACTAGGAGTCAGTCAGGAAGAAAGAACTTCATGTACGCTTGGAAATCTTAAACCGAATTTCTTTTTTTTTTTTTACAACTTTTTTTTTTTTTAAGATTTTATTTATTTATTTATTTATCTGACAGACAAAGATCACAAGTAGGCAGAGAGGTAGGCAGAGACAGAGAGGAGGAAGCAGGCTCCCCGCTGAGCAGAGAGCCCGATGAGGGACTCGATCCCAGGACCCTGAGATCATGACCTGAGCCGAAGGCAGAGGCCCCACCCACTGAGCCGCCCAGGCGCCCCAAGACTTAATTTTTAAGTAATCTCTACTCCCAACATGGGGCTTGAACTCAACTTTAAAAATTTTATTTAAATTCAAGTTAGTTGACACAGAGTGGATCACTGGTTTCAGAGGTAGAATTTAGGGATTCATCAGTTGCATGTAGCCCCCAGGGCTCATCACATCACGTGACCTCCTTCATGCCCATCACCTGGTTACCCTGTCCCCCCACACCCCCACCCTTCCAGCAGCCCTCAGTTTGTTCCCCAGAGTTAAGAGTCTCTTTGGGTTTGTCTTACTCTCTGATTTCATCTTTTATTTTTCCTTCCCTTCCCCTATGGTCCTCTGTTTTATCTCTTATGCTCCACAAGTAAGTGAAACCATATGATAACTGACTCTCTCTGCTTGACTTGTTTCACTCAGCATCATCTCTTCCAGTCCCGTCCATGTTGCTACAGAAGTTGGGTGTTCATCCTTTCTGATGGGGGCATAATACTCCATAGTGTGTATGGACCACATCTTCCTTATCCATTCGTCCGTCGAAGGGCATCTTGGTTCTTTCCATAGTTTGGCTATTGTGGACGTTGCTGCTATGAACATTCGGGTGCACGTGCCCCTTCAGATCACTATGTTTGTATCTTTAGAGTAAATACCCAGTAGTGAGATTGCTGGGTCATAGGGCAGCTCTATTTTCAACTTTTTGAGGAACCTCCATGCTGTTTTCCAGAGTGGCTGCACCAGCTTGCATTCCCACCAACAGCGTAGGAGGTTCCCCTTTCTCTGCATCCTCGCCAGCCTCTGTTGTTTCCTGACTTGTTAATTTTAGCCACTCTGACTGGTGTGAGGTGGCATCTCACTGTGGTTTTGATTTGTGTTTCCCTGACGCCGAGTGATATGGAGCACTTTTTTATGGGTCTGTTGGCTATCTGGACGTTGTCTTTGGAGAAGTGTCTGTTCATGTCTTCTGCCCATTTTTTGACATGATTATCTGTTTTGTGTGTGTTGAGTTTGAGGAGTTCTTTATAGATCCTGGATATCAATCTTTTGTCTGTACTGTCATTTGCAAATATCTTCTCCCATTCTGTGGGTTGCCTCTTTGTTTTGTTGACTGTTTCCTTTGCTGTGCAGAAGCTTTTGATCTTGATGACGTCCCAAAAGTTCATTTTCTCTTTTGTTTCCTTTGCCTTTGGAGACATATCTTGGAAGAAGCTGCTGTGGCTGAGGTTGGAGAGGTTACTGCCTATGTTCTCCTCTAGGATTCTGATGGGTTCCGCCTCATGTTGAGGTCTTTTATCCATTTTGAGTTTATCGTTGTGTGTGGAGTCAGAGAATGGTCCAGTCTGATTCTGCATGTGGCTGTCCAATTTTCCCAACACCATTTATTGAAGAGACTGTCTTTTTTCCATTGGACATTCTTTCCTGTTATGTCGAAGATTAGTTGACCATAGAGTTGAGGGTCCATTTCTGGGCTCTCTATTCTGTTCCATTGATCGATGTGTCTGTTTTTGTGCCAGTGCCATGCTGTCTTGGTGATCACAGCTTTGAAATAGAGCTTGAAGTCAGGCAACATGATGCCTGCAGCTTCAGGGGTTTTTAAATAATTTTTTAAAAAATTTATTTATTTGACAGGGAGAGAGATACAAGCAGGAGAAGTGGGAGAGGGAGAAGTAGACTCCCTGCCAAGCAGGGAGCCCAATGTGGGGCTCGATCCCAGGACCCCGAGACCATGACCAGAGCCAAAGGCAGACGCCTCACGACTGAGCCACCCAGGCGGCCCTCCAGCTTTGGTTTTAAAAGTCGGACTTTAGAACACAGTGCTTAATTTTTACCTCCTCAGCCACGTGTAATAGCAAGAAAGCCCTTGCAGAGAAGTCTTAAATTTCGGTTAGTAGCACTACTGTTTGTAGTGATGCTAGGATTATTACTTGGAAACGGTGTTAAACATGTTATAAGCCAAAGCTAACAAGCAATTGTATGAATGTCGGGGGCCGCATGTTTGCGTGTAAGAGAGGAGGGAGAGGAGTACAAACCCGCCCGGGAGGAAAGCTTGTCGTCCCCGAGGGAGACGCGTCCCCACACGTCCACGGCGGCGTGACGCACCGCAGCAGAGACAGGGTGGCAGCGCCTCACTCCCCGCGCCCGGTTGCAGGGTGAGGAGCAGAGACTCCGTGGGGAGGGCGGGTGGCTCTCCGGGTCATGGCCAGGTCAGACGATGTGGCCGTTAGTGCCCTTATGAAAGAGCCCCCAGAGAGCCCCGGCCCTTCCCTCCCAGGAAGACACAGCAAGGAGAGATGCAGGACCCAATCTGCGGGTGCCGTGACCTTACTCCCGGCCCTCAGAGCTGTGAGGAGCAAGCGTCTGCCGTCTCCAAGCTGCCCGGTCCATGCCGCTTGGTTAGAGCAGCCCCAGCAGACTCGGGGGAGCCCGGACTACGCTCCTGGGAACACGGAGCTGACGGCTGAAACCCAGTAGCCATTGTGGGCCACGAGGCTGCTCGTCCGCCCCAAGGTTCGGGAGCTAGGGTTCCCAAGGAGGGGCCTGGAGGGACCTGGCTCCCCATGGCCTTAGAGCCAACACCGTCTTTAGGCCACCGGCCCCCAACCCTGGTTAGTGCGAGAGAGAGATGAGCAATCTTGCTCGGGCCAGGCTCCTTGGGTCTCTGGGGCTTGTGTCGAGCCCAACTGATGTCTGGGCCTCCACCTGGCCAGTGGGGCCGGGGGAGAGACTTTCTCTGGTGGTGGCAGTTCCCAGCTGCACCCTCCGGCTGGCCCACCCAGCTCCCGATGTCTGTCAGGGGTGCCAGCGACGCAGAGGAAGTGGCCAAAAGGGGAAGCAGCGGGCTGCAGGAGGAGGCAGGTGGGCGGGGGGTGGGGGCAGCTGCCGGAGCTGAGGGCCTGCAGTCTGTGGCTGGAGCAAGATGAAGGCCAAGGCGGTACCCTCGGAGGTGAGTCTGGGAGCCCGGGGCCAGGCGGGAGAGGCAGGCTGAAGCTGGCTGCCAGCGAGCCCAGGCCCAGGGGATCACAGAGCCCCCCGCGGGGCCTGGCAGCCTCACCCCAGCTCCGCAGGGCAGGAAGTCGCACGCCTCCAGCCGTGACCGCTGATGCCTGGAGGGCCCCAGCCTAGCCCCAGCCCAGGAACACGGTGGCTAGTGGGCCACCCCCTCCCCAAGGCCAGCCCAAGCCCAGGGACGCAGGCTTTCTGTCACTGCAGCGAGCCAGCAGCTCTGCAGAGGCCTGGAGCTACCCTGGGGGCGGCCTCCCCAGGCCCCAGTGCTGTTCCGAGGACCCAAGGGGCGGGGGGGGGGGGGGGGGGGGGGGCGGGGGGGGGGGGGGGGGGCAGAGTGAGGTTCTGAACCCAGCTCTGGGGGGCATCCTGGCTTCCCTCTGGGGGGACTCCCTGGTTCTGCCGGAGGCCTCGTTCTGGCTTCCGAGACCCCTCCCTGCACTCCCGGCGGGCATGCCGAACCCTGGAGTACTTGGCCCACTGAAGCCACCATGGGGGAGCCCTGTCCACCTGGCTTCCAGCTCTCGGTGGGACTAGCTGCCCTGAGGGGGTAGAGCCCTGGGGCAGAAAAGGGGGCCCCCACACAGCACCCCAGGTTCCCCAGCCCTCAGGTCCCCGGATGGCAGCAAAGGGTCCCCACTCAGCCCCCGCCGTGCCTTCCCAGCCAGGACAAAGGGTGCTCCCTGAGTCCCAGGAGGGGGCTGCTGAGGCCCCCCAGGCTGGGACCCATCCTGGGAAAGGAGGTGGCTTTTCACGGGCCGGTAAGGAGGGCCCAGCTGAAAGCAGAAATGGCTCCGGGGCTCACCATGCACATGGCTGAAAGAAGGAACCAAGATTCAGACACGCAGGTGCCCGATGAGAGTGAGACGGCGAGGGGGAGCCAGAGGGCCGGGCTAGCTCCTCTGGCACAGACGGACACGAACACCCACGTGCGCACACACAGCCACGCACACACGCGCACACACACAACGCAATGCACACACACACACGCGGTGCACACACACGGACACACATGCGTGCGTGTGCACACACAGACACGCGTGCACACCGGCTTCAGGCTCCACACGGAGTCACCATCTGCAGGGCAGGCAGCGGAGGGAAGACCAGTGCCGGGCCTGCAGCTGCTGGTGACACCAGGTCGCCGTGTCAGGGGCTGAGACCTCTGCAGAGAGCAGCAGTGGCCCTGGCCCCCCCGCTCCACAGGCCCACAGCCCACAGGACAGAGAGCCTAGAGCAGCAGAACAGGGGGCTCGAGGGAGGGGGTTCCGCAGCCTCGGGGGACCCTGCACCAGAGCGGCAAGGATGAAACCAGCCAGACCAGTGCGCTCCCCTCAGCTCCCCAATCCCTGTCCTGGGGGCCCCAAGGGAAAGCCCCAGGCCACTTGGTCCCCCTCCCCACAGGCAGTTTGGGCCCTGCTCAGCGCCATCTTCCCTGTCCTTCGCCCACCCAGCCCCCTGCAGGCCTGGCCCTCCCTGGGAGCCGGCGACAGTCTCTGTCAGCCCCGGAAGGGCCACCTTAGCCCACCCAGAGGTAGAGCACACGCACGCCATCCGGGGACCCCACGGTGACACCCTCTCCTGCTGCAGGTGCTGGGAGCGCTGGCCGTGCTGTGGCTCGGTGCTGCGGCTCTTGCCTACGTCCTGTGGCAAGTGTACCTCCCGCCCACCAGTGGCCAGCTGCACCCGGGGGAAGGGCCCACCTCGTCCCCGGGCCAAGGCTCCAGCCGGGCCTGGGAGCCCCGGAGAGGGGAGGCCGCGCCGCAGCCGCAGGACGCCTGCCGGTGAGTGTCTGCGAGGTCTGCAGGCCCGTGGGCCCGTGCTCAGCTCTGCCCCTCTGTGAGCTTCCCGCCCTTGGACCGGCCCCTCGGGGCCCGCACGGCCCTCTGCCGCTTCTCAGAAGAGACAGCTGGCCGGGAAGGGCGGCCCCAAGGTGGGGATGGGCCGGAGCTGACGGACTTGGGGTGTTCTATGCAGCAAACACAGGCCGCTGTCCAGGGGCTCCGCCAAGGATGCAAAGCCCAGAGCCACCTGGGCAGCTTCTCAGCCTTCCTCTCCTGGTGTCGCTGTTTCCAGCTGCCCGGCCACCTGCCTTTCACGCTTTCTGCTGGGTGGGGGGGAGTCCTGCGCAGAGCCCAGCCTGTGGAGCCCAAGATGCGCTCCCACCACCTCCTGGTCTGGGCTTTCCTCCGGGTCAGCTTGTGCCGCCTCCAGGGGCCTCCCTTCCAGTCGGCAGCCCAGACCCAGGACGGCTCTCCAGCAGCCGTGCCTGGAACTGGGCTGGGCCCGGGGCCCCAGTCTGCGTTGCTCCCTCCCTGGCTCCCCCCACCGCCCCCGGGTCGCTGCCCGCAACAGGCTTGTTGGGGCTCACGCCTGCCCCATCCAGTCTAGTCGGCTCCCCTGCGGTGCTCCCCTGGCCTGGGCTCAGCCCCATGTTGGCAGTGACTACTGCCCCCGGCCTGGCCAGTGGGGACAGGGCAGGGGACGCGAGGCGGGTTGGTGGCCCCCGTGCTCCTCTCAGGCCCCATGGGCTCTCTCTGCAGGCTTGTCCTTGTGGAGAGCACCCCCTGGGACCTCCCTGCTGCAGCTGGCAGCCCGTCGGCCCAGCCCCTGGCCCAGGCCTGGCTACAGCTGCTGGACGCCGCCCAGCACAGCATTCACGTGGCCTCCTTCTACTGGTCCCTCACAGGGGCCGACATTGGAGTCAACGACTCGTCCTCCCAGCTGGTATGCCCAGCCCTGCCCACCCCATCTGGGTGCCGAGGCACATCTCTCTCACTCTGAGCTGTGGGTGGGCAAAGTGGCCTCCCGGGAGAGGTCTGGGTCCTTCCTAGTTGGCGGGGCGTCACCCCTCACGGCTGGCCCGGCCTCGCAGGGGGAGGCCCTTCTGTGGAAGCTGGAGCGGCTGCTGGACAAGAACATTTCCCTGGCTGTGGCGACCAACAGCCCGTCACTGGCCAAGAACTCCACGGACCTGCGGGTCCTGGCGGCCCGAGGTAGGTGCCTGTCCGGCCTGGGCCCGCAGCCTCGGGGGCAGGCATGGCTCGTGACCTGCTGGTGCCACGGGATGAGGAAGGCGTGCAGAGCTGCATGGGAGGGGCTAGGAGGGGGCGTCCATGCTTCCCTCGTTCATCGGGAGGGCAGGGGCTGGGGTGGCGTGCTTAAAGTCAGCCTCACCCGGGACCGGGGCTGGTTCCAAGGGGCCAGACGGTCATCCTCCGTGGTGGGCAGAGCCTAGGGAGGCCTTGGGGCCCCCCTGAGCCCAGCTGCTCTGACCTGTGGGTGGGTTCAGGCTGGGAGCTCAGCTGGGCAGTGATCCTTTAGCCCCCGGCTCTGGAGGGGACGGCCCCGAGGGATCCAGGGTCAGTTGATGCCTTCGTCACCCCCTGCAAAGTGGGGACGATAACGGCTTGGGCTTAGCAGGACTGCTCTGAGGGCAAACGAGCTGCCCCACCACAGGGAATTGGGCTCACCGCGAAGCGGGCACCTGGCGAGACCCCGGTGACCACACGGTCCTCGCCTCCCGGCCAGGTGCCCAGGTGCGGTTCGTGCCCTTGAGGAAGCTCACCGGGGGCGTTCTGCACTCCAAATTCTGGGTCGTGGACGGACGGCATGTCTACCTGGGCAGTGCCAACATGGACTGGCGGGCCCTGACGCAGGTGAGTCCCGAGGGCAGGGAGACCCACCAGGGGCTCGTCCGCTGCCCGCGCTCCCGGGGCCTGGTGATGTCCCATGCAGCCCGGGGTGGAACAGGGGTGGGGCGTCGCCCTGGTGCGAGGGACAGGCGCCGGGTCGGGAGTTCGGGAATCCTGCACGGCGCCTGCCCTCGCACCCCAGAATGTCGTTCTACCCGCGGGAAGCCGCTGCAGTCTCCGCACCAGGGAAACCTGCGTCCCTGAAGGAAAAGCAAAGCATGAAAAACCAGCCCCAGAAGGGTGGTGGCAAACGCAGCCATGCCGGTCGGTCTGTCGCCGGACAGGGACGCGACGAACGACTTCTCTTAGGCATTTTCTGTTTCCGCGGTAACAAGCACGGGCTGCTGCTTTGATGGTTGGGTGCAACGTTCAAGAGGAGCAGGGCCCCCGTCACCCCTGCAGCTCCTGCGAGCGCACTGTGTGTCACACTGTCTGTCCTGACTCCCGCGGGGGCGCTGCCAGCGCGGGGGGCCAAGCTCCGTCCCAGGGCAGAGGCCCAACCCCCGCAGCCGCCGCCCTGTCCCCACAGGTGAAGGAGCTGGGCGCCATCATCTACAACTGCAGCCGCCTGGCCCTCGACCTGGAGAGGACCTTCCAGACCTACTGGGTGCTGGGGGCACCAAGGGCTGTCCTCCCCAGAGCCTGGCCTCGGAGCTTCTCGTCCCACATCAACCGCTTCCGGCCTCTCCGGGGCCACTTTGACGGGGTGCCCACCACGGCCTATTTCTCCGTAAGAGCGGCAGAGGGTGCCTGCCAGACCCCCGGGGGAGCCTGCCCCACTGCCGTGCCGCCCAGCGCCCAGGACCCGGCTGTGGTCCCCTGGCCAGCGGCCGGCTGTCTGCAGACCCAGCTCCAGGAGAGGATGCGGGCTGCGTGGTCCACGGGGAACAGGCAGCCTGGGAGGGGGCGGGGCTTCCCATGGCCCAGGGAGGGGGGCTCCAAGCAACTGTTGGGTGGGGATGAGGGACTTCTGCCTGGGGCCTGGGAGGGCCAGGGGAAACCAGCTCATCAAGTGGGTCCGTCCCTCTGCAGGCGGGGAAGGGGGAGGGGGCGGGCTGACCCTCCATCTGGGCGAGTGGCAGGGGCTGGTCTCTGGAGACCCAGCATCAGGCCGGGGTGGGGGGTCCTCTGGGGGGCTGGGGGTGCAGCGCGGGGCAGGCTTCCCGGCCTTCCTGGCCAGACTGAGGGCAGTCCTGAGGTCCCGGTGCAGAGCCTCCCTCCCCTGTCCCCACCTCTCCAGGGGGTCCCTCTGGTCTTCCTCTGAGATCCCACGTGCTGGAGGGTGAGGGCAGGCTGGGGTCACAGGTCCAGGAAGCAAGCGGCTCAGTGCCCTCGGGGACCTCTCTGCCTGGACAGGCCTCGCCGCCAGCGCTCTGCCCGCACGGTCGCACGCGGGACCTGGAAGCCCTGCTAGCCGTGCTGCGCGGTGCCCGGGAGTTCGTCTACGTCTCGGTGATGGAGTATTTCCCCACCACACGCTTCAGCCACCCGGCCAGGTAGGGAGTGGGAGCCCGGGGTGGGGGTCCGCTCTGCGGATGGGCAGCACCCAGAGCATTTCCTCCCCCACTGGGACCCCTGCTCAGCCCCGGCTTGCAGTCAGGGTCCCCGCTGGCCCGAGGACCCTGAGCCGCCCTCCCACAGGTACTGGCCAGTGCTGGACACCGCGCTGCGGACAGCGGCCTTCAACAGGGGTGTGCGTGTGCGCCTGCTGGTCAGCTGCTGGCCCCACACGGACCCCAGCATGTTCCCCGACCTGAGGTCCCTGCAGGCCTTCAGCAACCCTGCGGCCGGGGTCTCGGTGGATGTGGTGAGGACCCCCCCCCCCCGGGGCGGGGCTGGGGTGGGCGGTCCTTCTCCCCCTCCTCACGTGCTCCCTCTCTGTTCCCCAAAGAAAGTCTTCATCGTGCCGGTGGGAAATCACTCCAACATCCCCTTCAGCAGGGTGAGCCACAGCAAGTTCATGGTCACAGAGAAGGCAGCCTACATCGGTGAGCAGGCAGGGGCACTGCCCCAGGACCCTGAGTCCTTGAGGGGCACCGAGCATGTGTGCATGACCACGGAGGCCACAAAAGCACACAGAAGGGGGACATGACCCCCAAGCAGTGGCTGGGCCAGGGTGCTGAAGGGGACTCTGTTCTCATGGGCGGCACGGACCCCTCAGGACAGAGGCGAGCCGAGGGGGGGCTCTCAGGTCCAGGACAGGTCCAGGCCCAGGACACCGGGCGGGTGGGAAGCCCCGAGCCCCAAGTTTTCAGGACGCTGAGTTGGGACACCAGCCCCGGGGGACGTGGGAGGAGCCGCACCGCGCGCGAGGAGAGCTGGTTGGCTCTTCCGCATCTGAGGGGCTGGCCCGGCTGCAGTTCCGGCAGCCGAGTGGCCGCGCAGCCCCTCCGTCCCCAGCGTCGTGGCCGAGCCTGAAGACTGGGCCCTGTGGAGGGAGAGAGCACCCGTCCCAGTCACACGGGACTCTCTCCCGCCCACGGCCCCAGGCACCTCCAACTGGTCGGAGGACTACTTCAGCAGCACCTCGGGAGTGGGCCTGGTGGTCAGCCAGAGAGCGCCCAGCGGCCGGCCGGGGCTCCTCACTGTGCAGGAGCAGCTGCGTCGCCTGTTCGAGCGAGACTGGGATTCCCGCTACGCTGTGGGCCTGGACGCACAAGCCCAGGGCCAGGATTGCGCCTGGCGAGGCTGAGGGGCTGCTCTGCCCAGTCCCCGGCCCGCAGCTCCCGCCTCCCGCCGCGCCTCCCCACCTGCCTCGGGTCGGGGCTCCGAGCCGCCTGTCCTCACAAGCCCTGCTCACGTGCAGGACCTCCCAGCTCCTAGCAGGTGCAGACGGACGGCTTGCCCTCAGCATCTGAACCGGCCCCTTGCACGCCCCACCTCCTCCAGGGAGCCTTCCGGGATTGTCCTCCCTGACCCACAGAGCCACAGTCCCTACCCACAGAGGAGGCTTTAGAATCCACGCACCTCCCTGCCTGTCTGTGTGGGTCTAGCATGGGCTGCCTCCACTCCTCCTGGCCCCAGGTCGGGGTTCTGCACCCCCCACCCTGGGACTGCTCTACCTGCCTGTCGGTGCCTAGGCCTCACCCACAGGAACCGGGGGTGGGGCTGGAGCAGGGGCCGGGATGGGGGACCCAGCATGGGGGACAGGTGGAGAGGGGAGGGGGTGCAGGGCTGCTGTGTGGCCCCTAGGACCATGTGCAGTGAGGGCCGGCCCTTCAGGCAGGGTTGAGAGAACCTGGTTTTGGAGCCAGGGGTGGGGGTTGGGCGTGGGGTACTGGCACCAGTCCGGGGTGGGGCCTTGGACACAGACCTGCCCAGGGGACCCGCCGCAGGAGGCGCCCGGACACCGCCCTGCAGAGGCTCTGAATCCTTTTGACACCTGGGTTCTGGCCCTTCTGCCGGATCAGAGGCCGTCCCAGCGCACCCACTTGGCCTCTCCTGGGACTTCTGGTTTCTGACCAAGGTTCCAGAGCCCACCCGATCTGTGGAGGCCACCCTGGGTGGCAGTGTGGGGTGAGCTCCGTGGCCAGGGGACCCTGGACTGTGAGGGAGCTGAGCGAGTAGATGCCCGAATCCAGCCCTCCCACATCCCTGGGTGCCTCTCCCCCGCCTGCCCCGTCCTCTCTGCCCCACAGTGAGCGGGTGGGCTGCAGTCGGGCCCCTACGCGTCAGCATCCTTGTCGGTGAGGAAGGTCCCCGACCCAGCCTGCTCCCTGCCCAGACCTGCAGGGCAGCCCCGGCCTCTGGGAGCTGGTCTGTGTGTGAACAGCCCTGGACCAAACCAAGCCCCCGGGCCACTGTGGCGGCTCCCCGCGGCTCCTGTCCCCTGCCCGTGGACTGCACAGCGACCCCCGTCAGAAACAGACCCTGTCCTGGACCCATGGTGCCCTCCAGAGCTGTGTGGGGGTTTGTGCTCTGGTCCTGGACCCCAGCAGCGGTGTCCCCGGGCCGGTCAGCCACAAGCCATCAGGTCTCCGTGCTCCAGGTCGTGCCTGGACGACAGGGAAAAAGCCACAGCCATGGCCCAGTGGCCATTGCCATGGAAGGGGCTGGTGGCCACACGTCGGGCAGCCTCTATGGCCTGTTGCAAAGCAGACCTTCCCCTCAGGAGACCCAGCTTGTGAGGCTCGAGAGGCCCCCCAGGGTGCCTTGATGTGGCTCCTTCTGGGCCACTGCGGACAGACTCTGACGTGGTCCTCTCGACCTTGCCCTGGAAGCCATGTCCTGTGTGACCCCTCCCCTTGGTGGCGGGCACAACCCGTGTTTGCTTGTGAGCAATAGAACACACAAAGGGGCCAATCTGTCACTTCTGCGACTGTGTGACGCGCGTCTGTGAGCGCGCCCACTGGGGGTCCGCTCCTCGATAGCCAGAGGAAGCTCCTGGGCTGTGGCCGGTCCTCAGCGAGGCCCCCGAGGCAGGGCACTGAGCACGGCAGTGAGACGCAGCGGCCCTCGCCCATCTGGCCCGCAAGTGCTGTGAGCGGCCAGCGGCTCTTTCCCCACTTTGATGGAGGGATCCCAGCCCTGGCCCTCACCCCGACTCCAGCCTGCAGGACCCCGGGCTGAGGACCCAGCTAAGCGGGGCTCGGACTCCGATGCACAGGAACTGGGAGGTCACAAACACGAGCTGTCGTCAGCTGCTGGCCTGTGGCAAGGCCGCCGTGCAGCATGGAGGCCGCGTGGGAGGACCCTGCCACCCTTCCCGCCTCCAGCCCCGAGGCCCCCATGTCTCAGGCCCTGACTGCAGCTTCACATGAGGCCAGAAGCCCGTGGCGCCAGCTGACCCCTGCGATGGTGTTCCCAGGAGGACGGCCTGACACACGGGATAGGCCGGGAGCGTCTGCCTGGGGGTGCTGGTCTCTCCTGACTTTGGGACAAACGCCCTGCTGACTCCTCCCCCTTTCTAGTTCACGGACTGTCCGTTCTCCGGAGGACGGCCCGTCCTCAGGGTGGGTGGCCTTCCCACCAGCCACGGGGAGGGCACGGCATGCACACGGTAGGAGGGGAGCCTCTGCTCTGCCTGCTGGGGGAGCACCAGGTGGGGCTCACCCACAGTCTGAGAGGGGTTAGGAGTGGGTCATCAGGAGCCCCCCGGGGCCAGGCGGGGTGGGGTAGGCTACACAGGGGATGCTGTGAGCCCCGGGCCCGGGAGGGGCATGCAGAGCACTCAAGACGAGGAGATTGGGTACCTGGGAGCTGCTTGGGCAGAGGGGAGGGCAGCCCCTGAGCTGGGCCCCCATCACAGCCAGGGATGTTGGCCCAGCTCTGTCCCTGCGCTGCCTTTGTGGGTGCCGTGTCGCCCCGAAAGCCAGCCTCTCTCTGAGCTCCCGGCATGCTCCTCCTTCTGGCTGCCGGGCCCGGGAAGGGCCTGATGGACCCAGGACAGGTGGAAGACCCACAACTCCTCTAGGGCCAGCGGGAGAGGTTAGCTCTGGGGTGTGTGGGCAGAGCACGGCAGGAACAAAAGACCTCGCAGCTGGTGCCGGGGGCGGGTCTTGTCCTTTATTATCCTTTACGGGGGCGGGGGGGATTCCAATGGCGTCCTGGCTGCGGCGTGTACAGTGGGGGACACAAGGCCATGCGGGGGGCCCAGCCGCGTGTGCCGCATCCCCAAGCTTGTCCGGGGGAGGATGCTCCACACAGGAGCTCCTTACAGGGAAGCAGGCAGGGAGGCTCCTGGAACGCACCAACTTTCTGGAGTCGAGGGAAACCACATTGCCCGAAGCAGCAGGAGAAGACAGGGGCCACGGCAAACACTACATCTACACCCACGGTGGTTAACCACCTCCTTCCCCGAGAGTGCGGCTGGGACCCGCTGGGCACTGCCTGTGGCTCCCTGGAGGCACGGCTCAGGGAGGCCTCACCCCAGCAGCCGGCGCAGCACCCCCACCCTGGACGGCGCCTGGCGCCTGGGCCGCCCCGCTTCCGCAGCTTGGCCACACGTCGGGGGCCGGCCGTGTGTCATGTGCCTCAGTGCCAGAAGAGCGGCAGGTGCCAGCATGGTCGGGTGGGAGCCTGGTGCTGCTGGGGTTCTGGGGCTTGGTGTGGGCGTCTGTCCCGCGTGGAACAGTCACCCCTTCCCAGTCCTCATGCGGTGGCGGGCCTGGGTGCGGACAGCTGGCTGGCGGCTGCGTCCCACTCCAGCAGGACCTGCTCGGTTCTTGCCGCGGAGGTCACCGTGGCACTGGAGCCGCGCCGGTGCCCACCACCTCTGCCGGCTCCCCGGCTCCCAGCTCTTCCGGGGAGAGGCTTTCTCGCGCATCATAGAAGGTGCCTGCCTCCTCCTGGAGGTTTTCCTCGGCTGGGCTTGCCTCCTCTTCCACACTTTTGCTTTTCTTGGTAGGGGAGGAGGAGAAGCCCAACTTGGGAAATCGGAACCAGCCCCCCTTCTCCTGCGAGGGAGGCGGCCGCGCCTCGGGCTGGGTCTGCACAGGAGCCGGTCTCTGGGCACTGGCTTGGGAATCGGCACTGGTCTCGGAGACGGAGGAGGAAAAGCCAATGCTCGGGAGCCAAAACCTGAATAGACCAGAGGACCTTGTACCTTCCGGTCTTGCTTTGGGAGCCTGGTCATCCACAGCCCGGGCCCCGGTCTCCTCCGCCTCCTGGTCCTCTTCCGGCAGGAGCTCCAGTATCTCCGCCGGCTCGTCATCGGAGCAGCTGTCTGTGCGCCCGCGGCCGGAGTGCCGGTCGGACGGGCCCGCTGCCGGTCCCGGCTCATCTACGCCAGGACAGATGATTTCGAAAGGCTCCCCGGTGTCAGGCTGGAGGTCTCCAGAAGTGGGGTCCGGTCCTGGGACCACCAGTTCCTGAGCCTCTCGGTGTCCTGCTGGCCCTCGGTGTGCAGGCACCACCTGCACCCGTGCCCGAGTGGGGGGCTCTGGGACCCTCCCCTTTAGCAAGGAAAACCCGTAAGAAAGCGTTTGGGTCTCTGACGCGGGGACCTCTGACTCCCGCACGATCTGGGTGGGAGAGACCTCGGGCCCCGAGAGCTCAGTGTACACAGTGGTCACTGTGCTGTGCACAGCCACCTGGCGGCTGGCCGCCTCCGCACCCTGGATGTGCACCCTGACCTTACAAATGGGGGCAGTTTCTGAGGGGAGGCCGAGGGCCTGGGGGACCTCCGGGGTGCGGGCGCCCCGCCCTGCAGTACTGTATGTGAGCAGGGCCGCATCAGGAGCGCTCTGCGGGCAGGACAGCTCTCTCACGCTGGGCACGAAAACAACGGCCTCTGAGCTGGGGGCCGGAAAGCTGAACCTCGGGACCTTTAACTTGGGGATCTGGACACGCAGCACGGAGTCTTCCCAGACCCGACCCACGCTGACCACGGAAACCTGGGACGGCAAGTGTGTGCTGCAAGCCCGCAGTCTGAGAGGGCCCTCGGGCTGGGAAGGCGGCCCCTCGGGCCCTCCGACCAGGCCCTGGCCCCCTGGTGCAGGAAGAGGGGCCTCTCCTGCTTCTCCTGGAGGTGGTCCGTGCAGCTGTAGGGGCAGGGAGCCTGCGCCCGGCCGGACCCTGACCTCGGGAGCAGACGGCCCTGCAGGCACTCGAGGGTCAAGGTTCCTCCGCAGGACATCTGCGTAGGAAGAAGCCGGGCTGCCTGAGGCTGCCCCGTCTGCACCAAGCTCCCGGGGCTGCGGGGACTTAGCCATGCCCACCTCTGTGGCAGGTGCGGGGGCCACTGCCTCGCCCTCCCCTGGCACACCTGCAGACTCCGTGGGGGCGCGTTGGAGGCTGGGCAGGCCAAGCGAGGGCATCCTAAACCAGCTCTCCCTGGGGCCCACAGGCGCTTCTCCCGCAACTACTCCCTGCTCTGAGCGCCCCGCCGCCAGGGACGGCAGGAGGGGCTCCTCTGCCAAGGCGGCTGTCCCCTCCCCACAGAGCAGGCCTGCTGAGCCGGCCCCAAGCCCAAGGCCTTGGGCGCTGTCTCCGGGAGACAGGCCATGTTTGGAAAGAGGGAGGGGGCCTGCGGCCAGGCCCCCCTGCACCGCGGCTTCCCTGGGGCTGAGGTCAGGCTGGACAAAGTCCAAGCGGGGAATGGGGGCTTCCGAGAGGCTCACATCGGCTCCTTCTGGCGGGCCCATGGCTGCGCCAATACCCCCAACACCATCCTCACTGTGGGCCAGACCCGGGTCTCCCTGAGGCAGGCCAGGCCCTCCTGGGGAAGACTTCATTCCAGGAGGCGCAACCTTTAGTAGGGCACGGGCAGCCACGCTGACCGCTCCCGCCTCTCCCTCCTTCCCGAGGGTCACGTCTGCCGCAGCCTCTGCAGGTGGAACGCGACCCCCCGGCTGGCCGCCCAGAGCACCCGCATCCCCCGGGCTGTGGCCAGGGTCTGCTTTGGCTTCCGTCCCCTTCCTCGGGGACCAGCTGAGCGAGGGAAGCCTGATCCTCGGTGCTCTCCCCAGACTGCCTTTCCCCTTGCATGTGACACCTCTGCCTGCGGCTGCGGCTGCAGCCAGGGCTGCCGTCCCTGCTGTGCCTGCATGTCCCTCTGCTACCTCAGACACAGAGATCCCCGTAGGTGGCCGCGGGTGGCCTGGCACTGGGAGGGCCACGGCTTCCTCCGTGGAGGAGTCCAGTCCCTGCGCAGCGAGCTGGGGAGATGTAGGGGACCCGCACTCGTGGGCTCCGGGCGCCGCCACTCCGGCCCCTGAGGTTGGAAGCGACAGGCAGAATTTGGGTCGATGAAATTTAGGAAAAGTCACCCGGCCGTAAGAGTCAGGAAATACAGTGTCCACGGGCCCCGGGGACCCGTCAAGCTGGGACAGTAGGACGTGCTCAGTGGAGCTGGGGTCGCCTGCCCCTGCTGGGCTCAGAAGCTCAGGAGCCATCTGGGACCCAGATGGGGCTTCACGAGGCAGCTCGGGGGGCACCGGGCCTCTGGGGACAGTCCCCTGGAATTTTGTAAGAGTGACGCCCTCGCAGGGGCTGAGGCTGGAGGGTCCCACAGGGGGACCCCTGAGCCGACCCAGCATGGACATCGGCAGGGACGCCTCCACGGAAGCCACAGGCGGCCCCTGGGGCCCCCCATGCCCGAACTCGAAGGAGGAGGCAGAGACACTCACAGGTGAAGGGACCTCGTATTCCTCTGCAGAAGCTGCAAAGCCTTTAGCTGTTTTCCCTGGAGGAGAGAAGACTTTGGGCAGTTTAAAATAGGATTTTTTGCTTTTGCTTTTTTCTCCACATTTTCCAGCAGACAGAGCCACATCACCTTCCGTATGGAAAGCATGCTGATCGCTACAAGAGACCACTGGAAGTCTGAGGCCGGAGGAGGACGAGAGAGCGGTATCTTTACCTCCCCCGGCAAGCAGAGGAGATGCCACGGAAGGCTTGCTGGGGGAGGGGACAGAGGGGGAAATGCTGATTTTAGAAATCTTGACCGTCTTCCCTGCGGAAAAATCTTCCCCGTCCCCAGAGATAATACCCTCGGCCAACTGTGAGCCGTGGACGTGGGCATCCACCTCCACGCCCGACACAGAAACGTCACTGTCAGGGGCACTCACGAACTCTTTGGAGCTCTTCAGGTCCAGTTGAGGCGCCTTGATGTCCACCTGGGGGGTCTTGATGTCCACAACAGGATTCATGACCGAGTGCATTCTACTCTCAAGAGGCGGGCCCATGGTGGTCAATGCTTGGGCTTTTTGAGACGTTGCAGACAAAGCCAACTCTGCTTCCGGGAGGGACAGCTCATGCTCTCCGGCAGGATG